TGCCTCAGCCTCCCAAGTAGCTGGGACCACAGGCGCCCGCCACAACGCCCGGCTATTTTTTGGTTGCAGCCATTATTGTTGTTTGGCGGGTCCGAGCTGGATTCAAACCCGCCGCCTTAGGTGTATGTAGCTGGTGCCTTAGCCACTTGAGCCGCAGGCACTGAGCCAAGACACTGTCTTATATTTATTTTTTCTCAAGAAGACACACTAGGGCTTATTTTCAGGGGATGTCTTATTTTTATTAAGTATAATACTACAGTCTACATTTATTCAAATACAGTTAAGTCATCTTCTTCTGGAACCTGACAGGGGGAGCCGACCTTGTTGGTGGGGCTGGCGCTAGTGATTCGTGAACTCCTTTCCCCTAGCCATTCGCACGTGCACAATAGAATGCCTGCGACTATGGTTACCACACGCACACCCGCGCAAGTGCAAAGGGCTGGCAGAAAGGAGCTGTGGCAGATAAAAGGTATTCCAGTCTTCCTTACTGCTCCCCCCCAAAATGCAGGCTGTGGCTATACAGATAAGCTGCATAGCCACACCCATCACTAGGTCTTATTATCGGGGTAGGGCTTATATTTAACAAATGCACAGAAATCCTGCTAGAGCTTATTTTTGAGGTAGGTCTTATTTTCAGGGAAACATGGTTGCTTGGGTAACAGAGCAAGACCTTGTCTCCTAAAAAAAGAATAGAGAAGAGAGAGGATACAGCATTGGAGATGAAAGGAGAGACCACAGGGGTGTGAGGAATTACGTAGATCACTTATTTACCTGGTAATGGTTGTATGGTGAGCATTATTTTATACTTTATTCACTCAAGTTCAGTAATGATTTAGCCTAAAGGATTTCTGACATTTTTAGTTATTACTAAAATAATATGATTAAATTTAGACCCCCCCCCACCCTTTTTTTCATGGCAGAATCTCAAGCTGTCACCCTGGATAGAGTGCCATGGCGTCATAGCTCACAGCAACCTCTAACTCTTGGGCTCAAGCAGTCCTCCTGCCTCAGTTTTTCTATTTTTAGTAGAGACAGGGTCTCGCTTTTTGCTCAGGCTGGTCTCAAACCCCTGAGCTCAAGCAATCCACCTGTCTCGGCCACCCAGAGTGCTGGGATTACAGGCATGAGCCACTGCACCCGGCCCAGTTTAGGCCTTTATTTACAGGGAGACTGAAGCGACACCCTGTTTTCATTTTGGTGGCTCCATGTAAGCCAGAGGTGTTTTCATGTGGGGCCTCTTCCTCCCTGACTTCTCCCTCATCTCCCCAGGTCAATGGCGTGCAGCTCTATGGGAAATCTCGCAGAGAAACAGTCTCCTTTCTGAAGGAAGCTCCACCCCCTTTCACCCTGGTGTGCTGTCGGAGGTTGTTTGATGATGAGGCCTCTGTGGATGAACCAAGGACCACCGACACCTCTGCTCTGGATGTGGAGGTACTGCACGGACACGCTGGGTTCCCATCCCCTCAGCATCCCCGTTCACTACGGACCGCCCTTTGTATTGAAATATAAAGGGGGGGACCCACTCCACCCTCAGCCTTAGCTGACTAAGGCAACACTGCATCGCTTTTCAAATTGTGTCTTTTTTTACTGTCATAAAACTTACTTTTTCTTGAAACATTCGTTTGGTGATGTGGATGCACATGCATTTTGATTTTATAGACCTTTTTTAGTAACTGCCAGGCTCATTTCGGCTTGTTCACATCAGTTAATCTTAGGAAGTTTGGGGTGAGGATGAGTGTGGAGTACCTAAGGGACTTCCCTTTCTTAGAGCCTGGGAAATAAGATCTGTCATCAGTTTAAAAGTGAGTCTAGGAATTGCCGTACAAGTCTTGGCACCTGGGAGTGACATAGCACTTTTTACGCTCCCAGTTCTCTGTTTTTGTAAAAAGTATTTTACTGATGAGAAGAATTTGAGCTCGAGCGTTGCCAGCGTGTGCCACTGTAATCTCATCTTTTCTGCCCCTTTCCCCACACTTTGGATTATATTTCTGTCCACACCAGTTTAGATACGTGGGGCTTCACTTGGACTCACTTAAGTCTGGATTTCAAGGAGCCTAATCCTGCCCCTGCCACTTCATAATTGTGACTCTCTGAGCAAATTACTTGACTCTTTGTTTATAATTTTCCTCTGAGTAATGGTGCTACTGCAGGCCCTACCCACCTTGCCAAGCTGTAAGGAGGAGGCGCAGGAGTGGAGCAGAGTGGCCAGCGGGCCGGGCGCTGGGAAGTGCCGGCTGACAGCTGCCTGCCTCCCAGTCCGCCTGTTTTCATTTCCTGATTTCTAACGTGCACAAGAATCCATCACTGTCTTTCAGGCAGATGCTTCAGTGTGTATTAACCTCGTTTTTCTGAGAAGACTGCCAGAATCTTAAAATTTTTTTCTATCTTACAGTGTTTTTATTCTATACTGGGCATTTAAGAGGGGTTTTGTAGACTTTTCGTTTTTTTAAAAAAAAAAAATCATACTCTGGGCTCAGCGCCTGTAGCTCAAGCAGCTAAGCCACTGGCCACATACACCAGGGCTGGCAGTTTCGAACCCAGCCCAGGCCTGCCAAACAACAATGACAACTACAACCAAAATATAGCAGGGTGTTATGGCAGG